GAGCTAGAAGTGAATACACAATAAATCATCTCAAGCACAACATTAAGTCCATTCCATAATTATTGTTCTCAAACTACAGTAATATATAAGAATCCGATAGTGTTCAAATGTGCATTAATCAGTAAGAACATACCATGATGACTTGTAGACAAAGTTATGCTTCACCTCCTGTACTGTCCAAGCTCACTGTGTTTGTATTGGAAGCCAATGCATACGAGTCACGAGGTTGCATCTTGACAGCGAGATGCCAATTTTTGTTGCTTCTATCCGGCACATAGAAAACTTGAGACACTTGACTTGCTAACACAAACGGTTCATTTGTCTTCAATCGCCTTTGTAAGTTCACACGAACATACCCATATGCATCTACTTTTACTCCTCTAACCTTATCATATACATCACACCAATCACATCGAAACAACACCACCCTCCTCCCTCCAAGAAACTGAACTTCGACAATTTTTCTCAGAACACCATAATAATCAATGGGTTCATCATCTACTCCATCATCACCTAACACAACAATACCGCTACTCTGTGGCTTGAGATATTTATCATGATCCATCGTGTGGAAACGATAACCTCCAATGACATAACCAGAATAAAAGGTAGCACATCGTGAAGGCCCTCGTGCTAGTGAGAGCAAAGGATTTACCTCATTAGAGTTATCCATCTCATTACAGGAAACCTATGATAAACAAATTAATGTTACTCTTACTTCATCCTAAACAATACAACACATTAAATTAACCATTGCATAACCTTGAAAGCATACCTTTGTCTTGAACCACTTGATAAATTCAGCGTTCCAGCCTTTACTAGAAACTTGTAGGGTCTGATTCTCAACTAGTGCGCCAAATTCCCTGTCAAGTAAACCAATCACATTCCATTTTGTTCAACAATTAAAAGAAGAAAAAAAAACAAATATGAATAAGTGCACTTCTTACTCAATAAATGGCAATGTTTCTTGACAGTTCCTCATGACATACATATGAGCTAGCTCTAAGTCACTATCACTAAGTTCATCAGTCTTTGCACCTCCCAATGGTTGCCAGTATGAATGAAACTTGAGAAATCTTCTTCTAAATCACTGCTGGCCATATCATAGTTTCTGTCTAACTTATTAAACTTCGTACCAATTCCATGCAAATATCTGGAGCAAAGAGTCATACATCCTAAAGCAATATCACCTTCTGCTATTGAACCCTCTGGGTGACTCCTAGTACGAATATGTGACTTCAAATCATGCAAATATCTCTCAATGGGATACATTCATCGATATTGAACCGGTCCACCCATCTTAGCCTCCAAAGCTAAATGAATCGGCAGGTGCACCATAATATCAAAAAATGCAGGTGGAAAAACTTTCTCTAGCTTACAAAGAGTGATAGGTATTTGAGCCTCAATCCTGTCCAACTCAGCAGCCTTCAACTCTTTAGAACACAATACCTTGAAGAACTCTGCCAGTTCAAGTAGTGGTTCATAAACGGTGTTGGGCAAAAGACCACGCATTCCAAGAGGAATAAGATGTTGAAGCAACACGTGGCAATCGTGGCTTTTCAAACCAGAAAGTTTAGATTCCTTCAGGTTAACACACTCTGATATATTAGATGAGAACCCATCAGGAACTTCCAATTGCTTCAAGAATAGACAAAATGCATGCTTATTGGCTGATGCCAATGCATATGGTGCAGGGGGTAGGTATGACTTGTTTCCATCTTGAATAGGATGTAGTTCTTCTCTAATACCCATTGCTTGTAAATCTAGACGAGTTTTGATAGTGTCTTTGCTCTTTCCAGCCAAGTTCATAACTGTACCAAGCACATTATCACATATATTCTTCTCAATGTGCATGACATCCAAGTTGTGCCTTAGTAAAAGAGTTTCCCAGTAGGGGAGAGTAAAAAATATGCTATTCTTTGTCCAATTATCTCCCCTATTTTCATGTGAAACCTGAACTCTTTTATCCAGATTTTTGGTCAAAGTTAAGCCACTGAGATCTTCAACTTGACCTAGTATCTCTTCTCCTTATAGAAATTTTGGAGCTTGTCTATTCTCTCTAGTACCATCAAATGAGTCTTTATCCTTCCGCCATCTGTGGTTTGTAGAAAGCCAACGACGGTGGGCCATATAACATTGTTTGCATCCATTAGATAAACGCAATGAAACCGTGTCCTTATTACAACAAGGACAAGCAAGTTTTCCTTTTGTACTCCACCCCGACAAATTTGCATAGGCAGGAAAATCATTGATTGTCCATAACAAGGAAGCCCTCAAAATAAAATTTTGCTTCTTTGACGCATCAAAAGTCCGAATACCATCTTTCCACAGCTCTTTCAAGTCATCAATTAACGGCTGAAGAAAAACATCTATAGTATCACCTGGGGAGGTAGGACCAGGTATGAGCATTGAGAGAATAAAATTTGATGACTTCATAACCATCCAAGGGGGCAGATTATAAGGAATGAGGATCACAGGCCAAATACTATAAGGAGTCTTAGAGTTCGAAAATGGTTGGAAACCATCACTTGCAAGACAAAGCCTAACGTTGCGAGGTTCCATCGCAAAAGATGGATGAAGTTCATCAAATGATTTCCATGCCAGTGAATCTGCTGGGTGCCTTAATACTCCATCATCAACTCTTGTTTCATGATGCCATCTCATGAAAGATGATATCTTAGTTGACATAAACAATCTTTGGAGTCGCGGCTTTAAGGGAAAATATCGTAATACTTTCCTTGGAATTTTTTTTCCCATTAGCCTTAACCAAAAATTCTCCACTGTTTTTGTCAACCTTCCACCTAGGTTTCTCACAAACCTTACAGTAATCAAAACCAGCATCTGCCTTCCTATACAACATGCAGTTGTCTTCACAAGCGTCAATCTTTTCATATGAGAGGCCAAGATCCCAAATAAGTTTTTTTTGACTCATAATACGAATCTGGCAGTGCTGCCCCAGATGGTAAAATTTCATCTTTTAACAATTTGAGCAACATAGTAAAAGACTCATTAGTCCATTTTCCAACCGTTTTGATGTGAAGTAGCTTTACCAATACCTCTAACTTTGAACTTGAACAACCATCAAACAATGGTTGCTCAGAGTCCTTGAGTAATCTATAAAAGGCATTAACTTCCACATTTGGCTCATCACAGGTTTCACTACCCCAATCAACATTTTCTTCATCACCGTTCCCAACTATGTCAGGATAAATGTCCCTTAAAATTTGCTCCATTTCACTCCTATTTCCTTGATTTGAACATCCCAATCTTTCTCCATGGTGATGCCAAACAGTGTACCCAGGCATAATCCCATAAACTAGCAAGTGTGCAGAGACCAAGTTACGATTGCCCATGTTTGTATTGTAACATTTAACACAAGGACACCTGATCTTATCTTCCACTGCAGCCCTGTCAAATGCATAGTCTAAGAATTCAACTACTCCAAGACTATATAGCTCACTAAGTCGATCGTGTACAAGATTCATCCATTGTTTATTAGGAACCATGGTGCTATCTCTCAATAATATGGCAGGAAAAAGATTTACCTAATGAAATAAACAGAGCAGATCTTATTAAGAATGATAACTAATAATTTCATTTACCAAAGGTAAAAATAGCTTTCGTTTCAGTATCGAAAAATAAATCTAAAAAAGGTAAAGCAAATAACACAGCAAGAAACATCCATACAAACTATCAGAACAAAACAAGCATAGAAACACTAACCTCTTACTCCCGTTGAATCTGCTCGAACAGTGTCTGCCACTGCCCATCAACCTAGTTCCTACTGAAGCTGTACTCTTGCTTTGCCAAGCACGATTAGTTCGCTAGAGCTTCAGAAGAATATGCTAATTAAATTACCCACCGGCGTGCTCCGCGGTAATGAACCCTATACGCCTGCTATGGAGCGCCGCACTTTGCTTATCAACTTCAGGGCCTAGGGCCTTCTTATTTCGGAGAAGTGAAGAGAGGAGTGTAATTGTGCACAATTGAGGGTTTCTTATAGCAGCTTTCCCCCAAATTCTTCCTCCAATAGATTTTCGTACTTGGCTACCTACCGATTGATTCTCTTTGTCCCGCGGCGGATGGCGGTCTTGTTGGAGATGAAACCTGGGACTATCAGAGCTAGTCTCAGTCCGAACAGAACTTAACAGGGAAAAAGATGAAGTTTCGAGAAAAAGGAAACAAGGTTGGTGAGATGGGTTGGATAATCGAATTGCGCCAAGGAACCCTAAAATTGCGAGCAGAGAAGCAAGAGAGTGTGGACGTTTCTTTCTTTCTTTGGGAGGTAGATGTTTACTTTACTCTTTTGTTTCTATGCTATTATTCATTTTTTATTTTATTATTTATTTTTGTGATTTATCCCATAACTTGGCTCACGGGAGAGAAGAAACTTTTAGAGATTATTCTGTTAATAAAGTGGAAGTCCCACATAGAACGACCACATTTGCCGCTCGTTGTTTAACAATAAGTAATGCTGACCGTTATTTTATATCAATAACGAGGAGAACATGTAGCCCCTCTTAAAAGTAGAGAGGAAGATGAAAAAGCTATCATTACCGACCGTATTTGATCCCCTCGCCCACATTTCCCCTCGTTGGTGACTCTTTTTTTTTGTAGTGTTAGTACTTCGTCTTTTGAGAAGCGCATTAGTCTTTCAGCTTTCTGGAAAGCTTAGTGATTCTTCGGCTTCCTGGGAAGCGCGTCGCTCCTTTACTTCCTGAGAAGTGCATAGCTCCTCGGCTTCCTGGGAAGCGCGTCGCCTCTCGGCTTCCTAGGAAGCGCATCGTTCCTCGCCTTCCTGGGAAGCACATTGCCCCTTCGGTTCCTGGGAAGCGCATTGATCCTTCGGCTTCCTGGGAAGCGCATTGCTCCTTCGCTTCCTAGAAAGCGCCTCGCGCCTTCGGCTTTCTGGGAAGCGTATTGCTCCTTCGCTTCCTGGGAAGTGCGTTGCTCCTCTGCTTCCTGGGAAGCGCATCGCTCCTCGGCTTCATGGGAAGCGCCTCGCGCCTTTGACTTGAAAGCGCATTGCTCCTTGGCTTCCTGGGAAGCGCGTCGCTCCTAGGCTTCCTGGGAAGCGCGTTGCTTCTCGGCTTCATGGGAAGCGCCTCGCGCCTTCGAGTTGGAAGCGCGTCGCTCCTCGACTTCCTGGGAAGCACGTCGCTCCTTGACTTCCTGGGAAGCGCATCGTTCTTTGGCTTCCTGGGAAGCGGGTTGTTCCTCGGCTTCCTAGGAAGCGCAGTGCTCCTTCGCTTCCTGGGAAGCGCGTTGCTCCTCTACTTCCTGGGAAGCGCATCGCTCCTAGGCTTCCTAGGAAGCGCGTCACTCCTCGGCTTCCTGGGAAGCGCGTCGCTACTCGGTTCCTGGGAAGCGCATCGCTCCTCGGCTTCATGGGAAGCGCCTCGCGCCTTAGACTTGGAAGCGCATTGCTCCTTCTCTTCATGGGAAGCGCGTTGCTACCTTGATTTCCTGGGAAGCGCAATGCTCCTCGGCTTCCTCGGAAGTGCCTCGCGCCTTCGGCTTCCTGGGAAGCACATCGCTCCTAGGCTTCCTTGGAAGCGCATTGCATTCCAAAGAGGGAACATCGCTCGGAGGCGGGAAAGCATTCCAATGAGGGAACATCGCTCGGAGGCGGGAAGCATTCCTCGGGGGGAGCCTCGCTCAAAGGCGGTTTACGAGCCTTGCTCAGTGGCGGAAGGCATGAATCAACTCCCGAAGGGTGCATGGCTCGGAGGCGGTATTTTTGCCTTGCCCGGAGGCGGAAGGCATGAATCAATCCCCGAAGGGTGCATCGTTCGGAGGCGGTATTTTAGCCTTGCCCGGAGGCGGAAGGCATGAATCAATCCCCCAAAGGTGCCTCGCTCGGAAGCGGGAAGCATCCTCGAGAGGGAGCATCGCTCGGAGGCGGTAAGCATTCTCCGGAGAGAGCATCGCTCGGAGGCGGGAATCTTCGAGCCTAGCCTGGAGGCATGAGGCGTGATTCTTCGAGTATCAGAGATAGATGCAAGTGGCTAGGGCCCAATATATTTAAAGCATAAATATAGCATAGAGAGCCCCTAGCATAATATTAATGAACCGCTTTGCATAAGATATATCTTTGTAACATTGACTTAGATTGGGAGAGGTTGGCGAGCGGTTACGTAATGGCCGATGCGTATGTGATAAACGATGCGTCCTGGTAGCATACAGGTTTGCGTGTCAGCTGGCGACTTGTAGGTCGTTGGTTCGAAGGTTGAAGCAGGCGTCTCCTCATAATTTTTTTAATAAAACGTGGGAGGATTGATGGGCCAAATGGAGGCGGCCCATTCCACCTGAGGCGGACCGCCTTGAATGAACAAATGCGAAGCGGGCCAGGTCTGAATGGTGGATTCCCCAGAGGGATGGAGGCCCATGTTGCTGTTGGCGGGAGGTGATGCGGTCCCATGTGTCTGAGGGCGGCCCACTTTGAGACTGTTGGCTACGGGAAGCGATTGTTGTGGGTCGGACATCGGAAGCGCAAGTGGTAGTTGCTTGGGGGATCTAGATTCAAGGCGGGCCGCGCTGGATGCGAATTTCGTGCAGTCTTGGGGTGCGGGGAGGCCCGCTTCCTATTGGTGGAGGCTTGCTATTATTTGAACGAGATGCACGAAGTGGGCCGAGACGTGGGTGTGATGCGGTCACAGGCTTTAGGGTTAATAACCTGAGACGATGGAACAAACTAGGCGATTGGCGGCCCGGATGGCCTGGCTGGACAGGAACAAACTAGCACTTGTGGAAGTTGAACGAGCGACCCCTTCTTGCTTTATTCCCATCTTCAATTTCTTCAAGCTGCCGTTTCCTACGAGGCGTTCTTGGCATTTTGCTTGGCCGCCGGTTACTGGTCGACTATGGTGATATTTCTTGAGCGATTTTCTGTACGACCATGTTTTTTCTCCGAGGGCGCTTCTTCTTGTGAACTCGGCAGCTGGGCGTGTTTCTTCTTGGGCGCTCCCAGCTTTCGCCTTCCTCTTCGTGCCTCTTCCGACTTGATGCGTTTCTTCTTTGGCGTCTCATATTTGCAGTGGTTCCTTCTTGCGAATTCTGCTCACCGTTCTTCAGCGGAGGCGCTTCCAGCCTGGATGTTGCCTCGAAAACTCTGCCCTCGGGAACCCCGCTTCTTGAAGGAAGAGAAAGTGCGACTGACAAACTGAGAACTCTGTCTCTTCGTTCTTAATCCGCTGGCCTGTTACTGTAGGTGAGCAGTAGGAGGAGAGAGGATGATGTTGACTGCTGAACTCCGGCGCCGAACCCGTCTCCGGCGGTCGGAATCATAAATTGGCAAAAGCTATGATCTACTTCTTTTTGCTGCCCAACGCATATTTTTGGAAGCTCCAACCTTTCCCTTTGATGATTGATCTTTTATTTGTTGTGCAGGTCAGACTGACGATGGTGATAGTAGTTCCTGTTGCGAGATGCTCGGCGGTGGTTTGAGCAAATCGAAGCGAGGATGGTGACTGGCGAAGAAGTTTAGCTGCTGCGTGCCTGCATCTGATTTTGCTGCTGGAACGAGAGAAACCCCGCTGGCCGATCTTTCGTCGTCCTTTTTCTTCTTTTTGACTTTCTTTGCTGTGGATTGCTTGTTCCATCGGCTTTGTCGCCAATCCATTTTTCTCCTCTAGTCAAGAGCTCAGGCGGCTTTAGGATTTTGGCAGCGACTGCGGTTGCTTATAGTTGGTAGAGGAAGTGCTGATTTCTTTCCTCTTTTCTTTTCCCAATGCTTCAACGATTTTTGGTTTACTCCATCGTTGGCGGTTCTTGGAAGGATTTGGCAGATCCTGCCGTCTCTTGTAATTTGGTGGAGTGACCCATTTCTTTTGTGCATCCAAGTTTCCATGGATTTAAGATCCACCATTTTTTTCTCCAGTTGGTGTGCGCCTTCTCTTCTCTTGGTTTCCTTGGACTAAAGCTTCTGTAACTTTTGGAATTTGAGATCTTCTATACTTTCTTTGTCATTTGCTTTTTTGTTCGGCGGGTCTTAAAGGGATTGACACACCTGCTTTCCCTTGTTGTTGGTAGCCGGTTGCTTCCCTCCGTTAGAAACCAAACGATAGATCCAAATCATTGCCCCAGTGGGCGCCAAATTGTTTGTGCCTAGAATGTACTAGGCGGTTATGGGGCTCCGATCTGGGCTCCCTCGTCTGATCTCCTCGGGAGTGAAAGAACCTGTGAGGCGGGGGCGGCCCCCGGGATCTACGCTCCGACGCCCAAGTTAGTACGATATAGGAGAGTGTATGGTATGTAGAGAGATAAAGTAGAGAGAGAGACCTTAGGGAAAAGTGAGAAAGGGAAAAGAGAAGATCCTTAGTTTGGAGGGTTAGGCCTCCTTATATAGGGTTTGGGCTTTCTTGAGTGGGCTCGGGCCCAGGACGCCTTGCGGTGGGCTTGGGCCCGTTTATAGTCTTGTAGGCATATTAATCCATATCCCAACACCAGGTGTTTGAGAAAATGCGTCAACCAAAATGAAGCCACTTACTTTTACCCATTTTATCGTCCCAACTTGCCTCCCTCTGTGGCTTCATTTAAGGCTCTGTTCCATAATGTTATGGCTTTTGACTAGGTTTGATAATAGAGGTATGGACAACGTGAAGGGGAATTATTAGATTAATTTCGTGGCACACAACACATAAACCGAAGAATTTTGAGGATCTTGGAGGTGGTGTTCTAGGTTGCAGGGGCTTCCACATTGTTCCAGCTTTATCCAGCCAGGACCTGTTATAGATTTTCTGATCAGCAACCAGAATGCTAGAGATTCATTATGGACTGAGCTAAGGTGGAAATATGTGTGAGCATCTCTTTTTTGTTAACTGCAAAGATCAGCAATATGTTCACATATTTTCATGTCATCTATTTTGTCCCATGGCCCTGTCCCTCCCCAATTTTGTGTATTGATCCATTTGGCATCTATTGAGATAAGTTGCTGCAAACCGAGGCTTATTATAGCTTTCATGGTGTTAAATGTTTCCTTTGTTTTTGTAGGTTTTCACAAGTGTTTAGAAGTCAGAACACAGGTAATAACTAGGCATGAGTATAAGTCTACAAGGTAAATTCAATCAATCTATAGAAACTCTAGATTGACCAGGTTCTCCAATGAGAGAAAACTCTCGTCGCCGTTCAGATTTTATAGTTGTAGCGACTAATATCCGGACAAGAAAACGAATTGCTTTGACTTGACATAAACTTTCAACGAGTTGCAGATGAGTGAAATGACGAGGCCAGTAGAACCGAACTGCGCCACCACCCTATGTCATCAGTCATTGTGACTAAGTTCTGAGCTGCAAGCACCTTGCTCCAATAATGTTAACCAAGGTAAGATCCCAGATGCCTTGATTTTTCAGGAAATCAAGTTTATATGTATTTTGTATTGTGAAACTAGGAATGGTTGTTATACCCCAAGTCTTAAGTTCAAGTCTTATACCTAAATGTTCAGCTCAATTTCCCGTGTCGGAACAAAACTCCGTGGTTTCCATGAACTACTTTTTGCTCAAAACCCCAAGCATTGAGTACCCATTCTGTGATGCTAATGTGAAACAATAGACGAGCTGTTTTCAGAAGTAGTGAGAAGGAAATCGTGTATGGTTCCCATGATTTCTATGTTTGCCCCTGTCGTAATAAACCGCATCCTTACATAGATTGGATCCGGTACACTAATAGTATGTTAATCAAACGCTCTGTTGTTTGGTATACTGCATACTCAAGTACTCCACTTCAAAAATCATAGTATGTGAAGCTCACCTGCTTTCCTTAAATTTCTTGGATAGATTTTTCTATGTACTCTTGAGGATTGCATGAAGTGGTTTATAGCTTCACAACAACTCGATAATTACCACTGGGGAATCTGCTGGCACATTGCAGCAATGAAATATCTCCATGTTGGAAGATCCCGTGTGGTTAACAAGCACTTTCATTCTGATTTGTAATTGGATGTCATTTTGGACCAGTCATATGAGTTTTCGTTTTTTTTTCTTCTTTTCAGGCTGACCTGACGAGATGTAGCAAGAGAGATTCGTGTTCCTGTCGTAGGTTTTTTCATATAGAGAATCTACCTTAGATGAATAATAACTCGTGGACTTTAAAGTGACTTGGTATTACTTGTTTCCCAAAGGTATAAAGTACGGACTTTTACTTCTTTATTGATTAGCATGTCATATATCCTTGATCTTTATCTCCTTCTTCTACTTCTGTATCTTTCCTATATTTGCCCCTTCTGTGAGTTATCAATGAGTTAGATCATCTCTTAGTCTTGTCATTTCCCCACTGCAGTGTGAGGTATTGTTCCAACGACTCATTCTGTTGGGAGAGGCCTGTCTTCATTTCACCTTGGTGGGTCTGCTTGGTTTCTTTGGTGATCGGAGCTGAAAATGTAGTTTAATCTTATACACTTCACAACTGATCCACAAGGTTGTAGTTCACAGAAAGGTTAGTTAGATTTATCTCTCTAACTCATATTATCTGGCTCTTATCTTTCAACTTGGTCATGCAAGCCCATACTAAAACCTTTATCTTGACAAGTTCCCTGCTTCTTTCTCGTGTTCTTTCCTATATATTTTATCATCACTTGCACTACGATCCAGATTGTTTGTATGGATACAATTTAGTCATGGCTTTTGAATGTTCGTTTAATTCTAACGTCAAGTTGGATCACTACATTTATTCCTTCTTATTTTCTCAAGCAGGGGATGTGGGTGACTGCTTGGATAGGTCAAAGAAGGGGCCAATGATAAAGCATCATTGTGGTCTTGGATTATAGGTTTGCTGTTTATATATTTGAAAAACTCAGGAATTTATGTCTAAAACTCATATAACTCTTTCTACTCCCCATCTCCCATAACTCTTTCTGTCTGATTCATTTGAGTTGGTTGATTGGTACTAACGCAAGCTTAAAGTGGTACACATCAAGAATTACAACCGAAAAAAATCAAAATGTATGGAGCTGTAAGTTACTGAATGCATTTCACTCTCTTTTATCCTATTATGCTGCGACATAATAAAAAGGGTGAGACATAATAATATTTTCTAGCTATTAGCTTGCACATAAAAGTTATCCCCTTACTCAAGTATTTCTTATAGAATTCGCAAGACTCCCAAAAGCAGGAGCTACTTGGATGCTACAACTACCCATAAAGCTACTCATAGACCATATTGGAAAGTTCAGGTGATAGGTAAGCTGCTCTTGGGGTGTTTATGCAAATACTCATCCTAAAACTTAAATCATTAATACCCTTCACAACATTTTAGTCAACTCTCTCTCTTAGGGATGGCAACTTTGCCCATACCCATGGGTTTCTTACTATCCAACCCAATTAGGTTGGGTATGAAATCCAAATAGATGGATATGGATAGAGTTTGATGGGTTTGTACCCATACCCATTTACTTTGGCTTAGTTGGGTTTATATCAAATGGATTTGGGTTTGTATCCATGCCCAAATACAAATTACAGTTTGGTACCCAAACTTAATAGATATGCATATTTAGTACCTAAATTTAATTTTTTTTGCATATAAGTCCTCAAAATATTGATGGAAAATTACGTTTTGGTACCTAAATTTTTTTGGTCTTACATTTTGGTACCTAAACTTTTCTAGTTTTGCAAATAGGTCCAATTTTTGCATGTGTAGTTAAAACACCCTCAAGTAAATGGATATCCATATCCAACCCATACCCATTTAGATTATGGAAGCCCCAAACCCAAACCCATCTATAAACCCCCAAATCCATATGCACTTCACCCATACCCAACCCATTATCAATGGGTCTACTTGGATTTGGGTATAATTACCCATGGGTGGGTAATTTGCCTTCCCTACTCTCTCTATATATATTGACTATATGAATTAGAACCTTTGCTTGATTCTAAAGCTGCAGAGATATGTGATTCTAGACTTATATGACATTGTGGTTTTATGGAATACTTACTTTAACATTTTACTCAACTGTTTCAAGTTAAGTCAAGTTGTTTGTTATTAAATATTATTCACTGTTTTGGCTTACTTCACTGTTTTTCTCATTGAAGGAACGGTATATAAGGAATACAAGAAATAGGGGTGAATATCAGCTCAATCATATAGGAGGCTCAAAGTCCATTGCTAAAAGAACTGTTGAGATGGTATGTTTTTAGATGTTTCTTTCATTTTGTTTACCTCTTGTCTACCAGTTTCCATATCTGGAGTGAATGTGCAATTTTGGATGGATTTGTCTTGTCTGTTTGATTCAGATTGTGGTAGTGACTTTTGGTTCAAGGATTGCTGATAGCTTTAAGGGGATTCAGTGTTTTCGAATACTTTGCATGATGACAACCGATAGGCCTCTATCCTAGGTTGCAACTGCTCTTGAACTCAATGAGTCATTTATGGTGTGCTTAAGGATTGAAACTCTTAGGGGTCGTTTGGATGAGGAATTCTAATGGATCAATCTAACACAATTGTCTCGTTTTGAGTCAATTGTGCTAGATTGATCCGTTTGGCAGCAGAAAATTTGGATGAAGCAATTTGGGCTGGGGAATTCTGAATTGACTCATTTTGAGCCAATTACAGTTGTCTGGGGTGGGGGCAGGTAATCTGAATTGACTCGTTTTAAATGACTCGTTTTGTAAAATGAAACAATTGGTCAAATTGTCTCGTTTTACAATTGATCCATCCAAACGACCCCTTAGATTTTTTGTATGTCAGTTGTAGTGTGATAGCAACCTGTTCGTTGGATGGTATAGTGTCCTTTCTGTTTTTCTTCTTTGGAACCTGTAGAGGAAATTTTACGTAAGACTTTTGACTTGTGTTCTGTTTTAATATTTCAGGTTCCTCTTGACTCCACTACTCAGCATTCTCTTCGACTGGTGCTCCGAGACAACAGAGGTATCATTCTTTATAAGATACTCTACTTGAGGCAATTTGCAGAATGCTTCTTGTGGTTAATCAGTTATCCAAAGGCTTTTAGTCCATTGCTTCCATGTAAATGTGTCCTTAGAGATATAGTTTGCATTCTGTTTACATTACTACCATGTATATCTAAGTGTTGAACATAATGAGCCATGAGAACTTAGTTTAAATTGGATGTCTTTGCAGGGCTGCAAGTTAATGAAGAAGCTGATGTGAAAATTTAGTTTGAATGGGGTGTTGCAGGGCTGCAAGTTAATGAAGATCTGGATTTGGTAGTATAAGGTGTTATTAGGGATTGTATATGAGAGTTTTGAACTTTAGATTGTAGGTTTAATGGTACTAGAATTGTTGACTTGCTTGTAGAATTGAATGATTGTTGATTTGGTAATCCAAAAGTAGAACCTTTTAACAAATCATATTGGTTTTCTTATTTGGATTTGTCGAAATTGTGATATCAATGAAAATCCCAGCAGGTTTGGGCTGTGATTATTAGAGCAGGTGACTCTTTTAAATGGTCGGCAGAATGTAGCGACGGTGGGCAGAAGTTAGCGACGGTCGAAAACCGTTTCTAAAACAATATTAATTATTTATGATATATTTATTTCGCGACGGATGTCTGGAAGATTGTGTCGGTTGCACCCGTCACTAAACTTTGCCCACGGCTAACGCAACAGTCAACCAAAACCGTCGCAAACACATTTAAGGATGGCGAGATCAACGGCGTCCAGTTGGCCGTCATTAAATGTTTTTGCGACGGTTCCGACCGTCGCTAAAGGCCCGAACAACCGTCGCTAAATCACTGTTTTGTTGTAGTGCTAGTGGGTAAAGCAGTGGAGACTCGAGAGAGAGAGTTTGAAATTTGAAAAAGTCAACTTCTCCCTTCATATAGCTCTTCCCATTTTAATTATCATCATTAAATTTTTGTTTCACTAGCATATTTGTCACCGGAATTTTTATTTTGTTAGATACCGGGTTGGGTTGGAGGGTGGAATAAGAGTGAATTTTTTTGAACATGGTCTGCCTGGTCTAGACCGTACTAGACTGCACCGCACAGGCGTGGTCTAGACCGCATAATATCTGTTGTGGGCCATGGTCTGGTCCGGTCCAGACTACATCATTTTCCACCCTTAGTACAAACTAAACTTTTACCTTTAACGTTATGGTACAAATTCCATTCTAGTACAGACTAAACTTGTTCTTTTAACGTTATGATACAAATTCAGTTTGTATGTATACCTTTTTGTAAAAACTCATTTATAATACAAACTTAACTTGTACTTTAAGATTATGATACATATTCAACTAGTATCTGAAATTACCGATACTTTAAAACATATAGTTTGGCCCTGCTGTAGCTTTTGTAGAAGCAGCTTCTGGCTAGATAAGTACTTAAAAAAAAACAGTTTAGTGTTTGGCTGTAAAACTATTGAAAGTGCTTTTTAATATGAGCGGTTGTGTAAAATAACTATAAGGGACTTATAATATAAAATATGAATAAAAATTATAAACAATAAAAAGTAGTCAAAATGGATCTTGTTAGATTTCTTTTATATTAAATAATATAATTTTATAATTTATTTTATTTTTAAAATGATATAAATGAAGGAAAATTATATTTTCTGAAATAAAATTAAAATATGGTAAGGATAATCTTGTATTTTCAAAACAGCTCGCTTTTCAACTTTTCAAAAGCTTAGCTTTTAGAGGTGTTTGGCCCTACTTCAACTTTTGATACCAAAAAAACACTTCTAAAAGTC